GTACTCTTCCCAGGAAGTATCAAACCTACACCTGGGGCTGGAGAGGTGGCTCAGTGGTTAACAGCATTGGCTGCTCTCCCAGAGAGCCCAGGTTTGGTTCCTAGCTCACCTCTGTAACTCCAGTTTCAGGAAATCCAATGTCTTTTCTGGCTTCCTTTGGTAATGTGTGCATGTGGTTGGTGCACAGGCATAAATTCAGGTAAAACATGAATACAGATAAAACTTTTAAAACAAGTCTATATCTAATGTTATCTATCCAAACATTATTCCTAGTCAGTTCTTTCTTTTGCTTTTTGTTCTTCGAGATGTTTTCTCTGTGTAACAGCCCTGGCTGTCCTAGAATGCACTTTGTAGACCAGACTGGCCTCAAACTCACAGAGATCCACTTGCTTCTGCCTCCCTAGTGCTGGGATTTAAGGTATGTGCCACCATACCCAGCTAACTAGTTTTTATTTTTTTCCTAAGTCTCAAGCACAGTCTTGTCTTAAAAAGCAGTGGCTATCGTGGTAGCCTATATTTGTAATCCTAGCACTGAGGATATTGAGGCAGGGAGAGAGTTCAAAGCAGTCTGGTCTACATAAAAAGACCCTATGTTACACAAAGAAGCAGTTAATGTCTGGTGTGTTTGACACAGGGTCTCACTGTGTAACCCACCCTGGCCCTGACCCTCCTGTCTCGGCCTCTAGTGTTGGGATTGCAGCTGTACACTCTCATGCCTTGCATGGAGCTGCTCAAATGGTATTGTCATAGCAAATCCATCATCTGTGCTAACAAAGGACAATTCCTCATGAAATCCCTTTGTGGCCCCATCATAAAACCCTGGGAACCACAGTGGGCAGTAGCAGCGTACGCCTTTAATCCCAGCACTCTCGAGGCAGAGGCAGGCAGATCTCTTGAGTTGGAGGCCAGCCTGGTCTACAAAGCTACACAGAGAAACCTTTTCTTGGGGGGAGAGGGGACCTGGGAGCCACTGGTGAGTGACAAGTCCCTTAGCAAAGTTCCCATCTTCTGGTGACAGTTTGGGGCCGATGCCTCTCGTGGCTTGGCCCTATAGACCTGTGCGCGGCATTCTGTTTGACCATTCAGCCAAAAGCAGCTGAGGCCCAGCGATCATCAGAAAAGTCACTGGGTGAAGAATCAAGAGTAGAGATAGTACAGGTCTCTCATCTTACATGAGGACACAGTAGCCTACTAGTCCAGCACACCCCACTCTCTTCCCCAGCTCAGTTTACCAGAGTCTCTGTCATTTCTCTGACCACTGCCTAAAACGCCAGTACTTAGGTGTTATCATGGAAAGCCTCCCAGCGAATGCCATCTTTCCCAGGTGTTAAACAGCATCCTGTTTTATAGAGGTCATTTCATACCAAGCGGGCAGATGCGTGATACTAAGGTCATGTGAACTGTGTTTCTGAGGCAGACAGGTGTGCCCTTTAAGACACGAGACAGTGCCTTAACACTCAGTTGTACAGGAGACTCAAGATATGTGGACAAAATTAGGCTGTAGCTCAGAGCAGGGATGGAAGGGAAATCAGATCTGATAATGTCTTATCCTATTTACCCAACCGTGCATTTTCCTACCACATGTTCAGCAGTTTGAAATTCAAATCACATTTATACCTTGGACATTGTTAGAAGGCTATTTTTATCCCTGCTGTAATCATCTAATTTGCTGATTACAGGTCTCAAATTGCCACAGAGAACTCAATTTTTGAAGGAATTGTCCTATTTGATCAAATATGTTATTCAAGCAATGCAGTCATTTGTTCCACAAGGTTACCTAGCAGGCAGAGTTAACCAGGAGTAACAGCATTAGAAGCCCACACTTAAAACCAGGCATTAGCCAATCTACCCGCGACAATAGAGTCCTAAATATAATTTGCTGCAGACACTCAGTTCCTGCGCTGACAGACAATTGCATTTTCTATTCAATGAGCATAGATTTTTTCCCCCCTACCTTGCCCTAATTCTGAATTTAACTCCAGAAAACTTGAATGTGCTCAGTTTCACTGGCTTACCTGGTACCATTTCCAAGGAGCCTGGGATGGGGGGACAAATGCCATCTCTTATTAAATAAACAACCCATTTTAAGTCGTTTGTCTCATCAATTCCAATCCTAAAACATGTAGCATCAGACTAGCCCAAGAGCTTCAAGTCTAGCGCTGGCTTTTCCCACTTGGATGAATGAAGTATCTTCTGGCGGGTCCTCTACGGGGTGCTGGAGTCTAGGTGCAGAAAAAAAAAACAAAAAACAAAAAAACCCAGCAACCCAGGAGTAGGGTGGCTTCCAGGGACATGGCTGAGGCGGTTGTTCCTGATTCGGTTTTGTCTTTTGAGGCAGTTTTGCTGTGTAGCCCACACTGGCCTGAAGCCAGCAACGCTACTGCCTCAGCCTCACGCGCTGGGATTACAGGTGTGCCCCCACCATGCCAGGCTAGGTGTGGCTGTTGAATTCTCTCTGGCAGTCTGCAAAAAAAGCGTTCCTAACATGAGGTGGAGGAGGAAGATGAGAACAAAAAGAAAAGAAACAAAAACAAAAAGTGACAGAGACTACACATCACACTGGGTGTGGTGGCCTGAGCTGCAGGAAGCTGGGGTTAGCAAGGAGGGACAGGGCAACGACCGATTTAACACCAGAGCAGGTTTGAAGGCAGACACTGAGGGAAGCGCCTCGGTTCTGCGGCACTGTAAGAAAACATCTGCAGTGCATGAGGGCCGTGGAGGGAAGGGGCAACAGGGACTATCAAAACCCAACAGACCCCCCACACTCACGCGTGCATCTAAGTGTGGATTGCAGTGATGATCACACAACCATGCGGGTCGCAGGGATGCTACACAACCGGTTACTGTCAGACCCCTCCCCCGCTTTAGATTTGTGCCTGCATTCCTTCCTGAGTGTAAGTACGGGCACATGTACCAGAGTGCGAGTGTGTAGACCAGAAGGCAACCTGGGTGTCAGTCCTCATCTTCCTCCCTGAGACAGGGTCTCTTGTTCACTATTGCATGCTTTGGGCTACCGGGTCCACAAGCTTCCAAGGATTCTATGCCTCCCATCTCACTGTAGGAGAGCAGGGTTACAGATGCGTGGTATGACCATTGAGTTTTGCTTTGCTCCTAGGGTTCCAAACATTTGCATGCTAAGTGCTTTTCCCACTGAGTAACATCCCGGTCCTCTGTCTGTCCCCCCCTTTAAATTTGACCTTGCTAACTTGCTCAGGCTGGTCTCAAATTCATGATCTTCCTGCTTCTAACCCCCAAGTGGCTGGGATTATGGGCGTGCCCCAGCACCCGATCACGAATGCACTAATCTATTGTGCCCTACCTCCGAAACAGTGGGGTTTACTATATACCCAGGGCGAGCCCACCATCCTCCTGCCCCATCCTTCGAGGTTCTAAGATTATACACCAACATTAAGTGATTGTCACCTCTTTCCTTTAACCAGAGCGGTTTCTGCCCTGCACATCTGCCTGCTCACCATTCTAGGTCAGCTTGTACCTCGCTGCCTAGATGTTGTCACTGGGCTCTGGAAGCAAGGCACCTTGTGTTAGGACCTGGCTCTGCCACTTCCTGAAGTGACCCATGCTTTTTTTTTTTTTTTTTTTTTTTTTTTTTTTGGTTTTTTTGAGACAGGGTTTCTCTGTATTGTTTTGGAGACTGTCCTGAAACTTGCTCTGTAGACCAGGCTGGCCTCGAACTCACAGAGATCCGTCTGCCTCTGCCTCCCGAGTGCTGGGATTAAAGGCATGCACCACCACGGCCCGGCTGGTTTCACTCTCATTGCCAAAGTGTGCCCATTATTATAAGTTGGAATATTGTAAACATGGAAAATACAGAAAGTTCCAATCCTTCAGAAATGTCATTTTATCAGTGTTAAAACATTACCTTGGGCAGGTATGGTGGTACACACCTTTTATCCCAGTGCTTGTGAGGCAGAGATAGGTGGTAGTGGGCCACTCTGAGTTTGAGGTCAGTCTGTCTACACAGTTTCAGGCTAGCTACTGCTATATAGTGAGACAATGTCTCAAAACATTTTTTAACTTGGCCCCTGAATTTATGGAGGGAAATATCTGCTGTTTTTTCTACAACAAGGCTGTTTCATTTTCTTGTGTCACATCTAAGTATCTTAAAATGTGTATGTAGAGTCGGGCGGTGGTGGCACATGCCTTTAATCCCAGCACTCGGGAGGCAGAGGTAGGCAGATCTCTGTGAGTTCGAGGCCAGCCTGGTCTACAGAGCGAGTTCCAGGACAGCCTCCAAAGCCACAGAGAAACCCTGTTTTGACAAACAAAAACAAAACAAAACAAAAATTTGCTCCCAAAGAGCTGGGCAGATGGATGGATGGATCCTTATACCACAGCCAGTCTTCTTCCATGAAGACGGAAAAGCAAGGCATGAACGGATGGAAGGAGCCATGCCAAGGCCCTGGTTCTGTTGTTTTTCAGTTGAGCAAAGCAGTCACTCCTCAATGACCCCAATTCCGGGAAGGGCTACAAAGATCGGGTGAGGTGCAGGAGCGCACCATCAGAGAGACAAGTCACTTGCTTTGGGGCAGAGATAGGAAGAACCTACCCAAAGTTAGTATGTGTCAGCAGTTACAGTGCCATCCCCAAAGTTCTGTATCACTCCAAGTCCCTACTCAAGTGGCCTCCTGATCTAGGCTCTCTCAAGTCCTGAAGCAGGAAGATTTCTAGGAGTTTAAGGACAATAGTGAGACCTCGTCCTCAGAAAAGAATGATTTCAAAATGAAAACAGCAGAAGGGGGAGACTTAAGAAAAAAAAAACAGGCTGGAGAGATGGCTTAGTGGTTAAAAGCCTCATCTATCCACCAGAGGACCTGGGTTCAACTCTCAGTGTCCACATGATAAGCTCACAACTGTCTCTAACTCTTCTGATTTCTGCTGGCATTACACACATACATGCAAGCAAAATACCCATATGTATAATACACTAAAATTGTTTTTAAAGAAAAGGAAGTACACATTTCTTCACAGAAGTACACAAATTCAATCACTGTTAATATTTAATACAAATGCCTTGGCATCCAAGATTCCAACACTGGTAAAGCAGAGGCAGGAGGATTGCTACAAATTCAAGGCCAGTATGAGCTACACAGAGAAACCTTACACACACACACACACACACACACACACACACACACACACACACCATTAAATATAGGAAAAGACATATTCTTTTACCTGCTTTTCAGAAACATCTGAGCTTGTAAGCTACTGTTTCACGGGAACGTTGGCTCTACCGTCATTTGGCTGGGCTGTCTGACAGCTGTGTCTCAGTTTCTGCACAGGCCAAGCATGTTCTTGCATAACACCCAGGACAGAAATTCAGGGCCACCGGTAAGGGCTTGATTTCTGTTTCCTGTGGGATGCTCTCCCAGATGGTGATGACGGACTAATTTGGGGCGTTTTTGCGGTTGCAATCACACTTCAAGGAACTCCCCTGCTTCCTCTCATGCAAAGGTAGTTTCATTTCTCTAGAGGTCAGGGTAGGTGGGGCTGAGGCCCACAACAGTGCATAGCACAGAAGTCACCCAGGGCAGGCAGGTGGATCCCACCTTCCCTGGCCTTCAAAGATCTTGGTCTCCTTAAGATCTTTGGAGTCATCTCTGACCCTCAGTCCATCTAAGGAGTGTCAGGACCAGAGGTAGGGAAGGTGAGATTTCACAGCTATGCAGAGAGGCTGAAGTTTAACACTTCTGGCTGCCCTGCTGGGTGGCCATGTAAAAGAATCCTAGGCAGAAGGGACTCTTGAAGAAATCCTTCACTCTAGGGCTGGCTTTGTTCTTCCTGACTGGATTCTGGACTGCGCTGCAGGATGACAACCCCGCCCCCCTTGATTCTGTCTCATAGTGGAAGACCAAAAGCATCTGAGATGAGTTTGCAGGGTTAGGGATGAGGTGTGGTTGGTACCAGAGGCTTGCTTTTAGATCCTAGAGTGACTGACTCCCCGTGGGTACATTTCAACGCTGTCCAAAGGCAGCTGGAAGGCGCGTCCCATCTGCAGGATGAGATAGAGGAAGCCATCAGTAAGGGTTCGTGCTAGCACAGAAGGAGGGTGTGTGGGGCTATCAATTATATTTCTTTTAGCCTCATAACAACGGCACTTCAGTAATTTACTCTGAACATACCCCGTTGATACCAATGATTTATCTTTTTTTGGGGGGGATAAAGCCTGTATGCCCAGCCAGTCAGCACCATGTGAGGCCCTGGAAGCTCTTATCTACACCATCACCCTGTCATGTTTGGACCCTAGGAATGAAGGCAGCCGTCCTGCCTGGCCTCAATCTCCTACCCTCACTTCCACCATGCTCTTCTGGAAGCCCTCTGACACTGGGATCTAGCCTTGTCTCTTGGAGGAACTGCAGGTGTGTGTGTGTGTGTGTGTGTGTGTGTGTGTGTGTGTGAGAGAGAGAGGGACAGAGGGAGGCAGACACACAGACATCGTTCAGGAGGTAGAGATCATTGTTAGCCTCCAATCCTATTCCTCCTCACTAAAGGACTGCTTTTGGAGACAGACTCTTACTATGTGTCCCTAGAATTCACTATGTAGACCAACAGTCCTCACAGCAGTCTGCTTGCCTCTGCTTCCCGAGAGCTAGAATTAAATGCATGCACCCACCACACCCAGCAAGGGATCTCTATGAAGGAACAGAGAAAAGTGCGCAGGAGGGAGGGGAGGACAGGGTCAGGGAGAGGAGGAGGGGGGAAGGAAGGGAGGAAGGAAGGAAGGAAGGAAGGACGGAAGGAAGGAAGGAAGGAAGGAAGGAGAGGAAGGGAAGGAGTAAAGAAACTTGGGGTTTTAATTCTCTTGGTCTTTGCTGTTATTACGTTGAATTTATTTGGCTACCAGTCATTGCCCTCTCACTCCAGGCACCAGGCTGAGGCGTCGGGAATGTCATGGAAGACTTTCCGAGCTTACATGTGCTTCTTTTCCTTCCCTGACGAGCAGAACCCCATGAGGGAGTCAAGGCCTGGGAAAGGCTTCAGGGAAGCATCCATGCAGTAACCAGCATTCTCTGCTCCAAATGCAAGCAACAGTAGACTGTGTTACTAAGTGAATATAAACTTCATCAGCATAGGGTGGTGGGGTTTGGGATGCAGGTGCCAGGCAGTAGGCAGCCATTAACTATGTAGGGCCCTGCTGGGCCTGATGGCATAGCCTGGAGTCCCAAGTACTCAGGAGGCTGTGGCAGGAACGATGAAAGTTCATGGTCAGCCTGGGTAGCCTAGCAAGTCTCAAAAAGTACAAAAGAGGGCTTGGGCTGTAACTTAGTACTGTCTAGCAAACATGAGGTCCTTGGTTCAATTCCTAGCAGCACAAAAAAACAGAGGGAGGGGGGAAGGGATGGAAGGAGGGAGGGATGGAAGGAGGCAGGGAGGGACAGAAGGAGGGAGGGAGGGAGGGAGGGGGGAAGGAGGGAGGGAGGGATGGAAGGAGGGGGAAAGCCAAGGCCGTAGGAATGTGATGAGGCCAAGCCCACAGCAGCATGTTCATGGAGGCGCATTTTTGGTGCTCCGTGGGTGCTAGTGTGGGGCATCAGATCTGTCCCCACGCCATCTCTGGCACCGCCAACCTGTTCCCTCCATTGGACTGGTGACCAACGGCTTTCTGAGCCTTGGCTGCAAGGACTCTGGCTGAAGCGGCAGGTTCCATGTGCACAGCTGCTGGACCCCGACATGCTCCGATGCTGGCTAAAAAAAAAAAAAATCCCAGCACTGCTACCCCAGCTCCTGGAGGGAGTCTCTGCATGACAGCCTGGGAAATAAGCTGCATTTGAATTTCATCTGCAACCCCTGGTTGCCTCCAGACAAGCTCAAACCTGCACAGATGGCCCCCTCCACACCAAAAAGTAAAAATAACAAAAAAGCTGGCGATTCCGAGCCTCCCTTCTTCTCTGGGCAGATGTGCGGCGGCACATTTCGGGAGGCGCGCCGTCTGTATCCCCACGCTGCCGTCCTCTCCCCTCCTGTGTGTTCACGCTCCCCACCCTCTGGCTTGCTGGGTGGGTAACAGCTGTGGCCCTTGGACGTGCTTTTAGAAGTGCCCGGAGTGCCTGAGCCTTTGTGTGGGACTTGGGATCCAGGGGGGTTAAAAAGAGCTGAAAATGCATCTCTCATTCACTACCCAAGACTGGTTATATGGTACCTGTGAGAGGCCCAAGGGAGAGGCAGAATGGTCAGAACGGGTTAGGTGACCAAGGACCTGCCATTTGGACTCGTGCATGCCAACAGCCAGCCTTGGAAGACCAATGGCTAGGTCACGTTAGCTGAGAACAAAGGCTCTAAGATTATAGTTAAGGACCAAGACAGACCCCAGAGAGAAGTCCAGAGAGTACTCTCTCAGAATCATCCCTGGCCAAGATACGGAAAAGTCAGAGCAGGCAAGAAGGAGCACACCACACACAGACTGAACTCTGGTGGACCTCATGACCCGAAGCCCCAGATTCATTCCGGGAAGTGGTACCTAGGGTCTTTGGCCTCTAAAGAATCAGATGAGATAAAATTTAAGTGTAACAACTGCCAGGGGAAACAAATAAGCAATTTATGAGTTCAGAGAAATAGTCAAGGCATAGTTTCAGGCATGGCTCCATCTGGGTGTTAAAGAGGCAGTCCCCCCCCTTGCCCAGCTCAGCTTTGCTCTGGGCTGACTTCTTTCTCTACTTGGTATTTTCCATTATCTTTAAGGTTGACATTCCTGCCATCCGTAACTTCCTTCTTATAATCTCTAGCTGAAGGGTCCCTTAATCACCGTGGCCAAGGAATGCAGAGCTGGAGCAGGACAGGCCTGTGGCATGCGTCAGTGCCTGGGGTAGAACCGGAGTCAGCCCACCAGAACTACCCCATTCCACAGAAGGGGGCTGGGGGCCCGTCAGTGGTCTGGCGAAAGCAGCAGACACAGAAATAGCTCAGGTCCTGGCTAAGACCATAGCAGCAGCAGCCGAGATGAACGGGTGAACATCTCTGCATTTCACAGCGGGCTTTTTGCTGTAGCTGGGAAATCATGGTCACCCATTCCCCCAGGAGTTACAACTCCTTTATTATGCTGGTCTCAGTGACTGGCCTGGGGAAGCCTGTCTACCCCCTAGCCTCAGGGCTGGGTACAATCCAGCAGGGTTCTGCCAATTTTTCCTTTTTGCCCTAGGGCTCCCAGTGTTTTGGCTTCCGAATTCTTCTCCCTCAACCTCACTCAGGGGAAAGAGACAGCCGGGGAGGGTCTTCCCTAGCCAAATCTCCAAACTAGGGTTCCTCTACAGAAACCCTTTGTGCAGCATGGAGCAAACCCTACAGGGGATGAGCCCAACACCCCACGGCTGTTCCGGGAGGCACACGGAGAACACACGTGGCTGATGTGTAGGGGTGCTGGTTAGAGGACAAGGCAAGACAAAGACAATGGCATCGTCAGAAAGGGACATGCAGAGGGCTGGCATCCAGGTAAACGAATCTGGAGAATATGAGAAAAACGGAGGTTCAGGGACTTGCCCAAGGTCAGACACTGAGCCCAGCTTCAGACCTGCTGCTACACCATGCTGCCTGGGAGCCGTGGCCAGGCTAATGGAATCTCTTATTAACAAGTTCCTGAAGCCCCAACTCAAAATTGGGAGGGCCCCAGGTATGGATTTTCAGGGCCCCAGGACCCAGCCACCTAAGCCTGCAGGGGGCGCGCATTCCTCCACAGGACTCTTGGCAGCTCAGCTTTTCCTGCCTGGAGCATGCTTCCCTACCAGTCCCAAGACTCGGGTTCCCCTTTTAGGCCTCCTCAGGCCCGCCAGTCCGGGATGACAGCTCGGCTGGGCCCCACGCCTGGACTGCGCCTTGTACGGCGCCTCCCCCTGGTCACGCGGCACAGATGGGAGAGGAGGAGGAGGACGAAGAGAGGAAAGGAAGGAGGAGGCCCTTTGGGGCAGAAGGCTAAGAGCCCAATGCATGGGGCGTCGCCTCTGAAAAGGGGGTTCTGCGATTAAACGGAGGAGCAGCGAAGCGGGGCCAGGGGTCTGGGCCACCGCGGCGTTTCTGCCACACCCAGGCGGAAACGATCTCGACGGTTTGGCATGCGCCCGCCTCTAGACTGCTGGGGAAGCAGGCACCCTTGTCACCTCACTGCTCACGGGGCAGCAAACCTCGCCTTGCCGGCCGACCACACACGCAGCCCCAGGGGCAAGGGCAGAACACAGAGCCCTTGCAACGCGAGCCATTGAGCAAGCTCCAGGAGCCCGGCGGATCCTGGTGGCGCCACTTTCCAGCCACATGGCTTGGGGCAAGTTTCTTTACCTCATCTGTGAAATGGGAGAGCGCGCACGGTGTGGCGTTATCACGTTGGGATGGGGTGGAGGGGGTTTTCTACGTCCTCTAGGGGCTGGCCTGGTGGCCACATCTGTCACCATTGCAGCAGGATGGAGGAACTGAAGGTCGCGCCATCACCAGGCCGCCCCGCGCCCCTGGCCGCCCCAAGACCTCCCTGCGCGCGCGCAGGGACAACCCGCCTCCTTCCTCGGAGCCCGCCGCCCCGCCTTCCTGGTCAGGCTGAGCTCCACGTGCGGCGTGTTTACCCACGTGACATCAGAGGGCCCACCCCTCCGGTCCCCGCCTCCGCGCCAGCCCCACCCATCCCCACCCCCGGCCCCGCCCCACATCCGTGCGGCTGCGCAGCGCCGAGCTAGGCGGAGCGCTGTTTGGGCAGCAAGAACACTGGGCCTCCGCGTGGCTGCGCGGCGTCCCGCGAGGGGGCGGAGGCTCGACGGGCAGGGGCGGGACCAAGCGTGCGCACCCGCTCCCGAGCGGGGTGGGCATCGCATGGGCGGGGCCGAGGAGGGCGGGGCCCGGAGTGCGGCACGCGCGCAGGCGCTGCGGGGCCATTCTGCTTTCGGTCCTGCTCTCCTGGAGCTACTGCGGGCAAAGACGGGCGGGCTCACCTATATTCTCTTCCCTTGCCCTATTTCCTCCGCTCTTCTGGCTTGGTGCTTGCTTCTGGCTGAGGCTCTTTTCTCACTCCTCCTTTACGCCCACTCTTTCCCTTATTATTATTATTATTATTGGTTTTACGAGACAGGGTTTCTCTGTATTGTTTTGGAGGCTGTCGGCGTGCGCCACCACCGCCCGGCCGTTTCCCTTATTATTTATTTATTATTTATTTTGTATACGGTGTTCTGTCAGCATGTGTCCCTGCAGGCCAGAAGAGGGCACCAGATCTCATTACAGATGGTTGTGAGCCATCATGTGGTTGCTGGGAATTGAACTCAGGACTTTTGGAAGAGCAGCCAGTGCTCTTAACCTCTGAGCCATCTCTCCAGCACCCACCACCACCCTCTTTCTCTTTTATACTGGAGACTGAACCTAGGCCTCAGGTTTGCCGTGCATGTGCCGTTTTTACTTTTACTGTTTAGAAACCAAGTTTGCCCAGACCTGCAGATCTGAGTTCAAGACCAAACAGCCAGGGCTACTCAGAGAAAGCCGGTCTCAAAAAAAAAAAAAAAAGAAGCCCGTTGGTGTGGCACACACCTTTAATCCCAGCACTAGGGAGGCAGAGGCAGAGCGCGAATCCCGGTACAGCCAATACTACACAGAGAAACGCCGTCTTGAAGCCCCCACAAAAGGAAAAGAACCCCAAACAACAAGAACAAACCAAAAACATCCCTTCCCTTCATTCTCTGCTAAACTCATGTCTGTGATCCTAAAAGTGCCTCACACTTGTGTCTGCTTGGACTTTTTAGAAGCTCCACTAGTCTTAACTAGTCTTTCCTTAAGTCTAGCTAACATTTCTAAATGACTTCATTCATTATCTGTGCAGAGACATCCAAATCTCTTCGTTAAAATGATAGACAGGATAAAGGCAAGGGTGTTCTCTGGCTCTACCTCTGTTCGTGGAATCCTGGGGGTTTGATTCCAGGACCACCGAAATGACCAAAACTGAGGATGGGCTACCCTTACAGAGGATACCATAGTATCTTCATGTGACTTGTTATAGCCTTCTGTGTCTCTAGATTATCATACTTAATGCCATAATATATGATATATATTTTACTCTATTGTTTTGGGAATAATGACAATGAGAAAACATAAATTGGAATTTCCTATGGAATGATGTGTATGCACCTGCACGTGCAGATGCAGGTGTGTGTGTGTGTGTGTGTGTGTGTGTGTGTGTGTGTGTGGTTCAGAGGACCATTTACTGGTGGTGTTCTTCAAGAAAGAGTGTCTCGCCGGGCGTTGGTGGCACACGCCTTTAATCCCAGCACTCGGGAGGCAGAGGCAGGCAGATCTCTGAGTTCGAGGCCAGCCTGGTCTACAGAGCGAGTTCCAGGACAGTCTCCAAAAACAATACAGAGAAACCCTGTCTCGAAAAACCAAAAAAAAAAAAAAAAAAAAAAAAAAAAAAGAAAGAAAAGAAAAGAAAGGGTGTCTCACAAGCTCTAAAATCCCTGTCTCACTGTATGCAAACTTGGGTCACTGTGCCTGGCTGCTTCTTATATTTTTGTTTTAATGTGAACTCTGAAGTTCAAACTTAGGTCCTCATACTTGCAAGGCAAGCCCTTTACTGATGAACTGTCTCCCCAACACTGGATTTTTTTAAAAATAGAAAACATTTTGCTGGGTGGTAGTGGCACATGCCTTTAATCCCAGCACACAGGAGGGAGAGGCAGGCAAATGTCTGTGAGTTCGAGACCAGCCTGGTCTACAAGAGCTAGTTCCAGGAGAGCCTCCAAAAACCAAAAGAAAAAGAAAACATTTTATTCATAAATAATATTTCAAGTAGAAGCAGGGTCAGCTCTTTTATTAAAAAAGGAGATTATAAGTAGGCAACAAACCATTTTGTTTAAAATTACAAATTAGGGGGCTGGAGAGATGGCTCAGAGGTTAAGAGCACTGGCTGCTCTTCCAGGGGTCCTGAGTTCAATTCCCAGCAACCACATGGTGGCTCACAGCCATTTACAATTCAATCTGGTGCCCTCTTCTGGCAGGTAGGCAGAACACTGTATATGTAATAAATGAATAAATAAATCTTTAAAAAGTAAATAAAATTACAAATTAACTTCTTTTTAAACATAGATGAGAGTTGGGATATCATTCATCCTCATTCTACTTTTTCAGATTTCTCCAAAGTCACACATCAGATCCTAAGTCCTAAACACTCTGCTCACAGAGTTCACGTTGCTTCTCCGTGGGGGATAAACATGTGTCTTCCTCTCAGTGAATGCACCAAGTAACTGTCACAGACTACATGGCTGCACGGCATCTCTGTCTTCCACATCTTCTGCATCTTGCTAAACTTCCTATTTCGCAAAATTGCCAGTTTCCTTCTCTCTCCTTTCTAGCTCACCTAAAAGAGTACACAGACTGTCCTGTGTGGCAGGGATGTCTCAGATTTGACAGTGAGTTTCTTGATGTCTATTAGTTCTGAGCAGAAAGTGGAGACCGTAGTGACGCTACAGTCTTGACTACAAGAGAGAAACCCACAGTATCCTTGTGATCAAACACAGTCCACAGGCAGGCACCTCCTGAAACACTTCGTCGGGGTTTGCAGATGAATTGTAGAACTAATCATAGAAATTGTCATAGAATCAAAGGTTGCTGCAGCGCGTTAATGGCTAGCCGGAACAGGTCCACATAAAAGAAAGAAGGAGAAAAAGGCCTCAACCCCAAAAGAAAAAGAAGTCTTCATTTGCTCAGCTTGGAAAGCAAGTCTCCCGTTGAGTGAATCCCCAAATGCAAACATGGAAGACATGGAGGGAGGGTCACTGGAGGTCCCAGCCTCTGTAGTCAGGTGGGAAACTTAGTGAGTGATAAAAGGATTGGAAGGAAAACAGCCACCCTTGCTGGGTGTGGTGGTGCAAGCCTTCAATCCCAGTACTCGGGAGGCAATTACAGATGGATCTGTGTAAGTTTGAGGCCAGCCTGGTCTACATAGAGAATCCCAGGATAGCCAGGGCTATATAAATATATATATACAGAGAAACCCTGTCTCAGAAAAAAAGGGGGCACCCTTTATAGTTGTCAAATGATCAACACAGAAAACAACAGATCAGCTAAACTAAGAAGACTATAACAGGATAGTTTTCTTAAGATGAGAATATAGTCAGTAGTAGGTCCCTCTACATTTATTATTCTCTCTCTCTCTCTCTCTCTCTCTCTCTCTCTCTCTCTCTCTCTCTCTCTGTCTCTGTCTCTGTCTGTCTGTCTGTCTGTCTGTCTGTCTGTCTCTCTCTCTCTCTCTCTCTCTTTCAAGACAGGGTTTCTCTGTGGCTTTGGAGGCTGTCCTGGAACTTGCTCTGTAGACCAGGCTGGCCTCGAACTCACAGAGATTCGCCTGCCTTTGCCTCCCGACTGCCTGAGCCACCAACGCCTGGCCATTTATAATTCTTGAGAATGTAATAAAATGCAATATCCCTTGCAATACTGAAGTATTTGGACAGTGAGCTAACAGAAAAACCTGAAATGGCTGGGCATTGTTGGCGCATACCTTTAATCCCAGCAGTTGGGAGGCAGTAGTCCAGGCTGGTCTCGAACTCACAGAGATCCACCTGCCTCTGCCTCCCGAGTGCTGGGATTAAAGGCATGCTAACCCTGACCTTACATGACAGGTCTCGGTCCAAACATGGGAGTGCTATACATCTTGTAGATAATTACTCAAGGCTATATATAAATGGTATACATGAAACATACATACATGTGCTCAGACTTAGGACTTGACTCAAAGAGAGATCACTGTGCATATGCTAATATAGTCCTATGCATGCATTAATGAAATCTGGTTGAAGTTGGATCTCCTATTTGCCTTGTGTTTGGAGGTGCTGTTAAAGGACCTGATCTTGTGAAATCTGTCTTAGTGCACCACTGTGATAAACTTGTAAGGAACCCTTATTATTTAAAGCATGGAATGCAGAACTCTGGCGCTTGAGAGCTTGAAGAACCAAGGAGCTGGAAGCTACAGGATCATTAATGGAGACCCGGGTGACATCTCTTGTTACAGGTGGATTTTCTTCATCTTCATCCTGTGTCACTACACCAAGAAAATTGGGTCTGCTTCCTCATCTTAAAGCCCCTGCCTCTGTGGTCAGGATCCGCCCACCTCCCATCCCCCACTCCCACCAAACTATCGGTGTCTGTTCATTTTTTCCAGGATAAAACCAGCTCCTGGAATACAAAGACAACACACCATACACTTCCTTCAGATATGAGTTCAGCTCTTTGTGAAAATGTATACATCCTGGGCATGATGGCTCACGCCTTTAATCCCAGCACTCGGGAGGCAGAGGCTAGAGGATCTCCGTGAGTTTGAGGCCAGCCTGGTCTACAGAGTGAGTTCCAGGACATATAGGACCCTGTCTCAAAAAGCAAATGAACAACAACTAAAACCTTCATATACATATTTTATTAATTATTTGAGAATTGCCTGGCGATGGTGGCTCACACCTTTAATCCTAGCACTCGGGAGGCAGAGGCAGGCTG